TGGGGGGGGGGGGGGGGGGGGGGGGGGGGTTCAGGCAACATGCGCGACCAAAAAGTACAAATTTGATGAATCTGCTGTGAAGCGGAAGCACTCCGTGCGCTGTGCGCTGTGTACATGTATGCATGCATCGCTCTGGTAACAAATAAATCCGAGGATCTTGGAAGCAGCCAAGACTGGAATAAAATAAGACTAAACTCCTCAAAAGAGTTCATCTCCAGACTGCTGTGAGCGATCAGGCGGTGTCCTTCCGCCAGCGCCAACAACCTCAAAGAGATGGGGGGGTCAAAATATATTTTGCCTATTCACGATGGCGAAAGTAATTTTTCGTTAGATCTTTGGACTTGAGGGACTTTGGACCACCGCGTGTGGATTTTCGTTTTTTGTTTGTCCAATCCGAAAACGGTGATCTCGACGACTACAGTACGGGTTACAGTACGGGTTGTGTGCGTACGACACACAGCAGTAAGTCGAGGCATGGCACGTGTTCGGCACGCAGGCAGGCGCGTATCCCTCGACACGTGGTTTAATTGCCAAGACGCAGCAAGGGGCACCCAGCGTTGTTTCCTCTCCTGGCAGCACAGCGCTGCGTCAGCGGCCTATGTACCTACGCTGTTGAAATACTGCTGGTGGTGTAAAGTGAGCAGCTACAAACAAATAATTAAAAGTTCTGATATTATTTTTCATATTTATTTTATTTATTTTGTTGTTCGTTCAGAATATTCTGTTTATTCCCTTCATGTTTCTCTCGCGTCATTTTTTTTGTGGTACGATAACCGCCGTCGAAATTGTGCTGACGCGCCTTCAGAAATCGAGAGGACGATGCTGGAACGTGGATAAATTAACTCCAACATTGTTGGTATTTTTTTTTCACGACGAAATGTGATCCGTCGTGATTTTAGTTGCCCCCCCCTTAAATTACCCTGACCGTCGAGATTGCTTGATGATATTTAAAAATGTGGTGATGTACCGACTTGCTGCAGTTGGTTGTTCAAACGAAGCCTATTACACTGGTGGCCAGAGAGGCAGGTTGGGCACCAACTACAATCTGGGGGGGGGAGGTTTGGAGGCCGAGTTCATCCTGGAACCCATTTTGTCTCGTCTTGCTGTCCGCTGTGTTGGTTGGAATAACGCCACTCTCCGAGATGCGGGAAAATCTGCACACTGTGGGCTGCAACCTCCCTACATCCTGCACCCCCAGGTTGTGATCGGTGCCCCAACCTATCCACAACCTCCCTCTGGCCACCGGTGAAGGTGTTCCCAGCGAGTATGGTGCAGCTGCAGAAAGGGACAGGCCTGCCTGTGTCACAAGTAAGTTTGTTGGGTCTTGGCCAGATGCTGCCCACCCTACTTCCTTCCGCGGATGGCTACTTTGTCGACGCGCCCAGGCGATGATCTCTACATGATCCTTGGTTGACCCTACGGCGGCGAACGTTGAATCCACCTCTCTCTGAAGTGCGTCCCATGATTTGTGGCACGAGAGCGAGGTGTGCTTTATAACCGGTAGTCGCCGTGAAGGCAGCTTCAACGTTTCCCGTCATGACGGTGCACAAGGATGTTGTTGTTTTTGCGGTTGGTTGTCTCTCTCCTGGCTTTTCTTTTTTGCTGCGTTTCATCGTCAATGAGTTTTGCGATAAGCCGATCAACTCGAGAAGCGAAAGCAACCAAGGGCACCGCTCGCCCTCTTGTTGCCAGGCCCCTTGTTACCTGCCCGCGTAGAATATCGCAGAATGCCTCCGCTCCAACTGGTGTGATAAGTGATGGCACACCGTGTAGGAGCCCCCCTTCCACCACCACCACCACCCCCCCCCCCCCCCCCCCCCCCGGG